ATAGAGCCCAGCTTCATCCAGTTCTTGTAAATCAGTACCCGCAAGTGGAGAAACACGGGCGATTGCCTCAAGTACATTTCGTAAGGAAGATCGTCCAATCCCGGAGTCTTGTCCAGGCCAACCTGCTTCAGCGCATCCCAGATCTCAGACTCTGTAGTAATGGGACCCTCGCACCCATTTGCTTCAGATGCCTCGAGAGGGGGAAAGTCGGACAAATAATCATCGAACAGGTTCCCTGGTAAACAGCTCCTGAAAGTAGTCACGGAAAGCTTCACAAATGCCCACGTCTGTAGTCACAGTCCGCTAGTCCAGCAATGTGATGCTCGCAATATACCGACTGGATCCACTTCGAGCTTCCTCTGCACGCAATTCAGCGGCCATGTTCTTTGCCGCGAAAGTCATTCTTTTTAGCCTAGCCCTAACTACTAGAACTTGAAAAGCAAGGAGGCCAGCTCTGAATTATCTAAAGCTACGTCTCCACTATCACGGGATTTGATCGCCAGATCTACTTTCTCCTCACACTACTTTTGTGCTATTAATGCTGCTAGATTGAGTCGGTGACTAAAATCAGTAGCAAAAGACCTAAGTTTAGATTTTAAATAATCCCACTACGTATTCCCAACTACGGCTATTCCCGCTTTAACATTAGTAGAAACTGCGTTCAATTTCCAGTAACCAGCCATCTTAAACTTATGCTTACCTAAGTTTACACGAACCCGGATAAGCCTATGATCCGAGTAAACTATATAATGGAAACTTGGATCTAAAAGTCCTACGTCGACTCTCAACTCGGTCGATGTAGCTTGAACGCGCACCACCGAATCCGATTTCCCACTTCTAATCCAAGTCCATACTACCTACCGGGGGGACTCATTTCGATACTTATCGACAAGATCAAACCCGAAACGGCTTAACATCCGGATTGTTAGTACCCGATATTTCCTCTATAAGATCTATATCGGGATCAAGGACGGCATTCGAATCACCCGCTAGAACTACCGAATGAAATGTCATCAAAAACGGTCCGATTCGCCGAAGCAAATCAGGCCGCTGCGCGTTGTCATTGGACGTATAAACCCCAACGAGACAAAGAGACATCCTTTATGGTAATATCCAGCATGCAAAGCCTGCCCGCAGGATCAGCGAAGACAAGGGCACATGCCGCACCCAGAGACTTGTACACTGGCCAGGAAACACCTCTTGAGCGTCCATCAAAACTTGCTGAATAGAGGACAAACCTCTTAGACAGAATGTCTTCACAGTCGCGAGTTCAAAACCGGGTCTCCTGTAAACAACATACATCCACCTGAGATGTTGAAGATCGCAATCGATTCTCGCCCTTCGAGACACCGACCTCAGGCCCCGGGCATTCAAATTTGCTAACCAGAGGACCATTATCAGACCGATTGCGGTTGGGAAACTGAACTGAACATGGTCGAGGTAAGAATACCGACAGCCTTCCCAATTGACCCTTGATCCATCTCATTCTGATAGTGTCGTCCTGGGAGAGACCGCCGAAGGAAAAGTTAGTTTTAGTGCCCTATAGAGGGAGGGATAAAACAAAACTGGGGCTCTCCCTGAACAGAACTGTTTCACCTTCCTGGTAACTTTATTGTCCAAAATGACGATGGGGGAAGGCAACATATCAAATGATTTTATGGCCTCCTCGACCATACCCCACGTCTGCTGCGTCCCTGACCCAGTTCGGATGGCAGTCAGTACCCGCTGCACTGTTAGAAAGGTATTGGGTACCTCTACGTCCTTGTCAGCATATTGTCTCACGGACAAACAAGTACCTTAGTTCTTTTATTCTATTGCCATAATTTTTGGCTCTTTTAGTCTGGGCCGCGGAAATGCGACAGACACCCTCCTCTAGGTAGTATGGCAGTTTGTTTTGCCTTTTTCTCTTTTCTATCGCCTCTACTGATGGACTTCTTTGACATTTTGAAAGTGAAGGCATTTCAGGATGTTTTTTCGTGGGGAGGACTGGGAGTAGGGCATGTGGTGTGTGAAGTACTTTTTTTGAACGGACTGGGATCTCTATTGAGCGGGCTAATTTTACATGGGGACGAATGTGTGGGTGATGGTTATGCATCTGGTTTTGAAACAAAGGAAGACGGGGTAGAGGTCGAAAAGGGAGCTTCCTTTTTAGATGATGATGATTTCCTGTTGGCGCCCAATTTCGTCTTGAGCTTTTTGAGTTTCTTCGTTTTCTCGAATCCAGGGTCGTACTTTTTATCTCATTTCCTCCAAAAACTTTAGAGATCGGGACATCACCCTTAACTCTGGTGGAGGGAGTGGGTCCGTTAGTGACTTTAGTTCCGGGAGCTTCAGAGCACTGATGATCCGCTCCCTGAACTTCTCTCTGACTCTACCAGCAACCAGCCATTCTTCCTCTCCCTTCTCCACAACTGCACTAGAAGAGGGCGAAGGCTCTTCGGGGAATGGGAGCTTAGAGCTCGATCCAGCCGGGGATTTGACCACACCAGTCCCGGAAGCTGGCATGCCCATCACAGAGGAGTATTTTGGTCAACTGGAGCCTGACTTCCAGAGGCTTTCTTCTCTGTGCAAGAAGAGGAGAGGTGACCAGCCTCTTCACACTTCCAACATGTTGGTTTTCGACAGATCACAATGACAGGCAACTTCAGATCCCTAATTCCAAATAGTTGGGTTTTTCGATCCAACATTATTTCAAAACTCCATTCCGCGTTCAGGCTATCGCAAGAGGCAAGCCAGTATGTCATCATACTGTGAAAATAACGCAGCCAGATGCTCCCCAATACTCCGAGGAGGGACCTCGAATATTGACACTCTAGTCTCACGACTGCCTTCGTATTCGGCCCGGAGGATTAGTTTTTACGTGATTAGATCGCGACGTGATAGTGTAACGCAGTCTTCAGGCGTGGGAAGCAATATATCCCACATGAAGTAACCTGCACCCTTAACAATTCTGTGTGGCTTAACCCACAGGGACTCCAGTGATTTTAACACTGTATTTCGTGGAGCGAAAATACAAATGAATTATACAAACGAAAAAACAGAGTAAAACAAAAACAATTAAGCGGTAAGACTTACATGCTACCAGAAAAAATTCAAATGGCGACCAAAGACAAAAGAAATACGAAAATAAAAAACGCTAACAAAAATGTACATCAGATGTCATACTTTTTTGTAGTTCCTGTTGTGAGGTCAATTTTGAGACCAGGGCGTCACCCTTAATGTTGATAGAGGGAGTAGATTTGTCCATGCTTTTAGTCCCGCGGGTTTCAGTGACTTTAGAGGCCCCACTGTCTGGCGCTTCCCTCTGAGCCTCTCAGCCACCAGCCATTCCCCCTCTCCCTTTTCCATAACTGCACTAGCAGCGGGCGTATGCTTTTCGAGGAATGGGGACTAAGAGCTTGACCGAACCAGGGGATTGACCACACCGGTCCTAGAGACTGGCATACCCATCATAGGCGCGGAGGAAGTTAAAGTCTCGGTCAGCGGGGGATCTTGGTCGATCAAGGACTGACTTCCAGAGGCCTTCTTCTCTATCCAGGAAGCAAAGAGGTGGCCAATCTCACCTCCAGCACACCAGTTTGCGGCCGATCACAATGATCAGTAGCTTCAGGCCCCCTACTTCCAGACGGTTGGGGATGGAGAGAAAGCCTTGTCGAAACTCCATATTCCGATCATGCTATGGTAGGAAGCACCCGGTAACTCGCCATACAATGTAAGGAACGCCGCTAGATCTTACCCGATAAATTGTCTTCATACTCTGTACGCATGATTAGTCCTTTCGTGGTTAAGTTGCTGCATGCTTCCGGCGTTAGTAGCAATACGTGCCACATGAAGAAGCCAGTACCTTTCACTATTCTTAGGGACTCCAGTGATTTTACCACTGTGTCTTTCGAGGTACGACAAATTTTGAGCGTATGCTTGTCGACTGGCAGTATTCGTCTTTCAATTTTTTTTCAAGGTGAGCATACTCCTAGCTCGCTCTAAAAACATCGCAATATTGAGTATTAATTTCGGGAGTGAGGGGGACTTCCAACAACAGGACGATTCCCCGGCCTCAGCATTTGTATTCTTGTCACCAATATTGGCCTCCATAGAATTTTCTGGCTATTTCTGGTTTATTTCTTTGTGTTCGCTTTCAAAATAAAAGTTGCAGTTCAAAACGTAAAACACTTGAAACTCTACTGGTCTGAAAATAAGTAAAAAACCGAGACTTAACGCAGCTGTGAGGCAATGAATTCCAAGTGGGAGACAACATACAGTATATACCACTGTATTTATAGGAATTGGGACATGCCCATTATCGCCCGTAGGTACAGTATAACAATGCATCAAAGAACATAACGTTTCTCCATTATTCTTCTGTCCAATGTTCATACTTTTTTGGCGAATGTCAGGCGTTTCTTTTTCATTTCCACAGTTAATCTTAGTTTTGGGCTGGTTTAAAGGATATTAATTGAAATTCACAGACCAGCCTGAGAATAGTAGTCCTATGATTCACATCTATACCCCTGAGAAGATCGTGAAACAATGGTTTTGATAATGCGAGGATTTCTAGGGATTTTTTTTTCTGGGGCGTCCACTTTTCTTTTGATCAGAATAAGAACCACCATCTTCGTACTTGAGAACTGTAATCTTGCTACAAGCCATTTGAAATGAGATTTTACGTTCTTAGTACCCCACTTCGTGTAATGTCACTATTTCGGGTTTTGGAATATCTGAAAATGATGATTTTGCTCATTTTAACGTATAAAAATTTACTGGAAACTATTTTAGTACAACTTCACAGCTTTCAAACTAGCCAAAACTACGTTACAGTTTTTCAAACTTGAAAATGATGTAATAATGCTTAATATTGCAGTTTGTTTATATTAACTGAAATGGATGATGTAATATCCTGAAATAATAGGGAAATGTTCATTTCTGCAAGGTGGTCTTAAATCTTTGATAAAGACTGTATGTGTAAGATTTTAATAGAAATAAAATTAATCTATAAAATAAAGCAATATGTTTTCTTCTTTTTTGCTCACTGTTAGCTCACTTTATATGGAGGAAGTCTTCTTTTGGTTTGATGGTGAAGGTAAGAAAAAGTTTATCAGTTGATTTTCATGCAATTACTAAAATCTCAGACCCATGAATGAATGAATCTTTTGGATGTCGTTTTTATCTCATATTATTATTATTATTATTATTATTAGAAGTTTGGTTCCAATAAGAGTAGTGAAATCTCTACATTATGGATTAAAATTTTCAGATAATAACAAAAACCTCAATTTCATTATTCTTTTCTTACCATCGTATTTTCAACAAATTTCTGCTAACTTTAAAGTAAGAAATTACATTTAGATTCATGATTATGTTTATAAATAAATAATCTTTCATGTTAGCCAGAAAAATCTAATAAAATACCAATACCAAAAGACATGCTTTTACACTTGAAATAAAAATTATTTTTAAAATTTTTAGTTGGTAATTCTTACAGTTGTTATATGTGTTGTTTTGAATAACTACAAAAAATAGTACAAAATAAAAAATAAACGTATCTTTGCCTTTTCTTTCTTGTAGGGAGAATCGGCTCTAAAAATGTGGAGACCTACAAATGCCCCAAGTAAAAAGCCTACCTTCAAGTTCCCACAGTCCTCTATTTCAAACCGTTTTAGGTAATAGATTCAACTACTGATTTGTAAAAAATATACTAATATTTCTTAATATTTTTAATACATTTAGAATTATCACATTTAAATGCATACACGTGTTGAAACTATGTTTACAACAGTTCTTTTAGACACAATCAAAAGTTGTGGATTCAGAGTCCAAAACTGTATTGAGATCAAATCAGCTACTTTTGTTATAATTCAAGTTATTTTCAGCAACAAATGGTCAGGATACTTTCGACAAACGTTCCTTGGTCACATACGAAGCCACTGACATTCACAGCATAAAAACCTAACTACATTATTCAATCAATCATAATTATATGAAATATATGGCGCATCAATCGGTCGTCGCCATTTGTTACCGGTCAAAATTACAGGCGGCATAATAACTTCAAAGGCTTCTTACCACCTATTGCTCCAGCATTTTTGAGGTAGGACAGAGGTCCTCGAAATGATATCCTTCTTAAGCCTATCAAAGTGTGAGATGTAAGGGTAAGTTAATTATTAAATTCCAAACCTCAGTGACAATGTATGGAGGAAGAAAATTTCATATGTATCTACGTTCGACAACAAAAAAGATTATTACTAGGAATGACGAAAGAACAAGGAATACTAAATTATTACAGAAAAGCTTAAATATTCAGAACAATTAATAAAATATTTCGTTATTAGCAAAATAGCAGACATGAAGTTCACTTACAAATTGTTGCAAACGAAAGAACTGGTCTGATTGGAATAGAACGTGTCAGTTGACATACTTTGGCGGGAAGATATAAAATTCGAAGAAGATAAAGTGAAAAGGATATTTCGTCATATTGAATTAATATTTTTGGCACGTGGTAAAATAAATATGACCGCACAAAAGGCATATTTATTTTAAAATAAATTTCTGCACACAGAGGTAACTTTATATTTATTTTACGTCTAAGCCGAGAATGCTTTTACGACACTTTTTATTCAAATGTAAATGGTAGGTACTTTGTCTATATCGCCAATTATCAGGATATGTATAAGTTAATTATATATTATATGGTCCACGTCATTTGAAATGAGTCTGCCTGGAAGTAGTTGCTCCCACGGGTTACAAAGCAACTACTGGTGTGCACACTAGAATATGGTAAAAACAATTTGATTACACTCGAAATAAACATTTATTTACATAGAGGTAGAGTAGTTTACTACAAAAGGTCATTACAATAACTGGCTATGCAATATAATTGTACTCACATATAGAATCGAACACAAAAATATTCCTTGAAAGAAGGATCTAAGTTCATACTTTTAGTATGAACGTTGGAGCAATTGTTCCCTGAAAATGAAGTTGGGGTCAGGCAAAAATGATGTATTCATAATGTGGAGTCTGGCAGTATAAATCGATCGCCTTCTCACGTTCTCGTCGTACTGGACACGTCTCACTCCACTAATCAATCATCTCTATTTACATTGTGATTAAATTTTTGATCTAAGGAAGTATTAGGTAAATCTGAAATGCCCTCGGGAGCAAAGCGATGAGTTACAAAAAAAAAAAAAAAAAACGGAAGGAGAGAGGCTTTCAGAATAGTCAACCGACTCTTGTAAATACAATAATATAGAGTGTATTTGTCGAGGGTTACAGAGTTCAGCTTAACCCTTTCCAAATCGTCGGTGCTGCCTAACTAAGATTGATTTGTGAGTTATTAGGCATTCATAATATATCACAATAAACAAATAGCAATGTCCCAGTTTGGTAAATGGCAGTAGGTTCGGTTCAACAATTCAATCAAGAAAATTTAGTCTCGGGCCTGCAGATAAAATTGGTGTTTAAAATCTGATTCCAAACTCTTCTACTCGATCATCAGTCTGCAAACGAAAATTCTTAGGCTGTGATAAATTTCTTCAGTTTAATTATTCACAATTATTGCAAGGGGTGTTGGAATTGGTAGTGAAGAAGTGTGGTGATGACTGCTCGAATCTACATCCCTTTCCGATAACCTAATTCTTTTGGACTCTTTGTTGCTGTGTCAGGTTGTTTATTCTCTCTCTTGTTTCTCTCTCTGCTGCATCTCGACCCTCTATGGTTATCTCTACCTGTTTATCCTCTTGCTTCGTGGGATATTGTATTTATGGGAATCAATTTCTTTCAAGTGTCTGGTTACAAGTCTGTTTCCATATGTGGATAGTAACAGAATCAATGGAAGTGGTTTGGTGACTCATCCTCCTGTCACGTTCAGAAGGGGCCAGGAAAATTTTTTACCTTATATATAATCAAGGTAGAATTTTTAAAAATAACAAAATTTCAGCAAAGTTTAATTTTTGTATCCGAAAAAAATGGTGTATAAAAAGGGAGTTTTTTTTTTTCTCATGACACTACTATTACTGTATACTCTCTCAGCAACGGGAAACCACTATACTATTAATTATCTGAATGTCAAGAAAAAAATCGTGCTTTTGACATGATTTGGGTTGGGTTTTTTCGGGTACATAGGATAAATTTTACCAAAATTCCTTTTCAGAACCTTGGACCAAATTCTGTCAAGGTCACCTGGTACAGTTAATCTGTCATTTTGCTAGTGGCGAGTTGGAGCAAAAGTGTATTCTCCTTGGTTTACCAGAAAAAATATACATTTTTATTTTTAAATTCAAGTTTCTGATATTATTATGAAACTTTTGGGCTGTCATCGAAAATTAAATGATAAATAGCTAACTAGAGGCGGTATATCAATAAATCACCACGGAGAAGACAACGGGAAACCACTCTACTATCAATCCCAAGAAAACTCATGGTTTTTAACAATTAAATTTTGAAAGATAACTGCGTGAAAGAGGTTAAATCTATTGGAATTAACTCCTCGCTTAGTAAGGAGCGACATGTGCAACAGGAGCCCTTTGACCATCATCCAGCGACTGTTTGTAAAAACGGCGTTTGCATCAAATAAAAATGATTCTCAACACATGGAATATCAGAACACTAAATCAATGTGGCCAGTTAGAAAGTATAAATGTTAATGTTTTCAGGCGTATGTAAAATGATGTAGGCAAGCAATGGAGATGTCGTTAGTGACAAACACAAGATTACATATGCAGACAGAGAGAAAATGAGAGAAGAGTAGGCCTGATATTAGACCACGACATGAAGAAATGTGTTCTGGAATACTATCAGTTGTTTGAAATAGTTCTTGTAGTTAAACTAAAAAGAAAGGATTTTAACATATCCATCATAGTTTTATATGCACCGACAACACAAAATATGGAAGAAGAAATTGAAAAATTTCACTGTACTCTAGACAACACCAAGGCTCAATCGAAATCGCAAGAAATTACAAACAGAAGATCTAAATGTCAAAATAGGCAAGGAGAGAGATGATGAAATACTTGGCAAATTCGAACGGGGAACTCGTAATGAACGCAGAGAAAAATGAATCGAATAGTGCGCGGCGCGTATGATCAGGTAATTGCCAACACCTGGTTTCAAGAACATCCAAGACGTATATGGACATGGAGAAGATCAGTGAGGAGAAACGAAAAACCAAATCGACTATATAACTATCAATAAGAGATTCAAGAATGCAGGTTTAGACGGCAAAACATACCCAAATGCCGACTGAGTCTCTAGTCATATGTAAACTTAGAGTAAATCTACGGAAATTGAAGCAGCACGCAAATTGCAATACCGCAGACTTTTGAATGACTCGAATATGAAGAAGAACTATATGGTTTAAAGCACATACAATGGACAAAATGAGAATGAAAACTCGAAGTGGGTCACTTTAAGTGAAGCTTCAGTAACATCAGCAATAGAGATCATCTCAAAAAAATAGACAAAGAAAATAGAACGGATTACATGAAATTTACGACATAATGGAAAGGAGACAAGAAACAATGCCAAATTACGACACAGAATATAAAACTCAAAGAAATTAGGAACAAATTCATGCAGACTAAAGAGAAATGGCTCAACAAAAAAGTGCAGAAATAGAAAGAATGAGTATCACAGATTAAGCAGATATGCATAAAAAATAAGAGAACTAAAAGGACAGAAGACATGCTCATCAACAGGCTGCATAAAATCCAAGGACGAAACACTAAAATTAGAGAATGAAAAAGTACTTCAGAGATGGAAGGAATACATCGGAGAATGTTCTCTTCCATGATGAAAGAGAACAACCGGCAATACACAGAAATATCGATGGACTAGAAATATTAAAATCTGAAGTGGAATCAGTACTGACCGAATTGAAGAGTAACAAAGCAGCAGGACAAAGACAGAATTGTAATAGAGATGCCGGCAGCCTTAGATGATTTCGTCATTGATAAAATTACAGACATAATAATATATATAATAATAGTGGTGATATACTGGAAGACCTAAGTAGATCTATTTTCATAGCACTGCTTAAGAAGCCAGGTGCAAACAAATGTGAATTCCATTGAACAGTCAGACTAATGAGCTATATAACAAAAATTATCATCTGAATTCTGATAAATAGACTGTGTAACTGAACCAGACCAAAAATAGGACAAGAACAGTGCGGATGCGTTAAAGACACTGGAACAAGGAATGCAATATTTATGCTCATAATGATATCAGAAAGAGCAATACAAATGCAGAAGGATGTGTACCTGTGTTTTATAGATTATGCAAAAGCCTTTGATAAAATATGTAACAAATAACTGTTGGAACTGTTAGGTAACCTTAACATAGTAGAATAATTCAGAACCTATAATGGCAGAAAACCGCCTGCATACGCATAGAGTTCAGTAAATATACAAAAATAGAAAGGGGTGTACGACAAGGATATGTCTTCTCACCGAACATTCAACCTATACAGTGAGGTAATTCTGAGAGAATGAGAAGTCCTACTTGGATTCATTATTGGCGGCCACAATCTTAACAATATATGACACAGTGTTGATAGCGGATGTAGAAAGCAAACTACAAGAACTAAAGAAGGTAATGAAGGAAAGTGCTATTTTTTTTAATTAATTGCTTTTGACATAAACTTATCAAGTTAATTCACTTTCCAAACAGACACCATATATAGATTCATTTACTTGTAAACTCCATTGCAGTAACTCTCTTACATTCTTCCCCGACCATTTATAAATTACAACTAGTATAATTCCAATTCAAACTACCAACCAATTAAGTGATATAGACTCACTTAATTGTAAAATCGACCCCTTTAACTCTTTTATGTCAGACGTCTCCGTACAGCCTGGTAACCGATGAAAAGAGACGTGACACGTCCGTACAATACGGTGGCCAGCAAAAGAAAAGATTTCTCTTCTACATCGCCAATGGAGACTCACCTTCGTCCCTCTGTCAAGGGCAGATAATTGATATCGATATACCGTGTTTTAAAAAAAGGCTATAAAATCAAAAAATAGCCAACGTAAGTAACTCTGAAAATTCAAGTCAGACTGCCGCACTTTTTTTACTGGCAAGAAAATTTTACCGCTTCTTGTACCATGGCGTGCCATGTCATAGAGGATCTCTCGACGAGAACTAGAGGCCTATCTCAAATTTCGTTGCTCCATTGTGAGCGAAGATTTTAGTTTCGGTTTGGGTTTCCGGTAATTCGCTGCAGTATTTGGTTTAAAAAATGTTTGAATCACTTTAGATTGTTTAATTGAAGTATAAGATTTATTTATTTATTTTTGTTCGATATGTTTAATTTAACAAATATTTCTCCTGAAGACAATTTTCTTCGATTTTGTTTCTACATTGCAAAGGGTAGGTGCTTATTTAAGGTGTTGACATGTTGACAACCGGAAGTTTATCTAATTATTTTTTACGGAGTCATATCTATAAAAATTACTTGAGGAATACAACGTAAGCACCTTTTTTTAGATAATTTTTAACTACTCAGTAATCTTAAAAATTTAGGAAAATATTCCCTGTAATTTTATTGAATTTTAGGTATTTGGCTTTAAATTTACAATAGTTATCGTTCTTATTTTCTTATAATGTTGTGTATGGACGTCCATATTTACAAAAATCGGAACGTTTATACACACAAAAAAGAAATTCAAAATTATTTTTAAAATATTGGGCGTCGATGAACTATAATAAGCTTTTCTATTTATGATTAGTAAATATAGTTTTTACTTAATAACAAAATCACCTAACCGGTACAAATAAATGCAGAAATTTAAAAGATTTAAAACTTTATAAATTATTCTAATGAAAACAATTCTCGTAAAAATTCATTATTCATCGAAAAAAATTGTTTTCTTAACACAATAGTATCATTAATATATCTTATTCATAGAAACAATTAAAAGCTTTTCTAATTAAAGAATGTCTTAGTTTTATTGCATTTTTTATTTTACTATTCAGAGGAGATTTTCGGTAACTGGGGGTCATGCTTTATAAAAAAATTGATGATTTAAATTCTCCCGTATTAAATAAAACCTTGTGTCACGTCCGGTTATGACGTGGGCATGCACATAAATACTTACTTTTCAGAAGTGCCGTGAACATATCGGTAGATGACGCTTCGGAGTGACAAGATGCCCCCATGTTTGTTAAACAATGGATCGTTAACACTATGATTGTTCACTTTTTACGAGCACTTACACACAAAAAAAGAAATACCCCACGACCACAATTTTTCTGTTTAACAATAATTCCTTCATTCAGGATCACAGTTTCAACAAAGACAACACAACTTTCTTCTATTTCACAGAAGATATTTCTAGAAAATAAAGTTCAATAAGTCCTGGTTAATGGCTAACCTATGCACAGAGAACGATTTGTGCAACTTTATATTCGATTCAAAACTATCTCTTCAAACACTGAAATAAGCGATGAGGTTGCAAACTTCGAGAACTTTTCTCTTTTTACTTATTTTCTTTTTTTCCCTTTTAATACGCAATATCTGTAAATAGTAAATAAACTTTTCAATTTTACGCATTGAGTAGATGATCTTTCATTCGCCATTTCTTTTCCTTTTCATATCCTTATATTTTACATGTCTTCACATTTAGCAGTTAATTTTTAGATTTCGCACAAATCTTTTATATTTTGTATCTTAATTTTTATAATGCTTCAGTGCTACATTATAAAAATTTGAGGTTTTAAAATATTTAACGTGGTCAATATCATAAATGCATATATTTAGTTTTTGTTTTCAGATCAACTGCTCTGAAAAAAGAAGTGAAAGTAGAAACGAAAAAAGCACAAAGGGAGATAGTGTCATCAGGTCAGTAATAATAGCTACAGCTCCACACTACACTCTTTCATTCACGAAATCATAACGCCATCACACTATATACTCTTCTTACTTAGTTTAAAAGGCTTCGCACTCATAAAAGAACCCCAAAATGCCTTTCATATTTTAAAACAATGTAAAAGGAATTAAAGGAGCTGGATAATCGAAAGAAATTAAAAATTTATAGGCACGCATGATTTCTAAATTAATATGTTCTTATTCATCTCTCCTTTATATGTATGAAGATAATTATTTCCTTTATCATTCTTTTTCCCTTTAGACGAAGACATTGATAAAATCCAAGAAGACGAATTCTATAACTTATTACTCGGAAAATTGGAAAATCTTCCTCATCCTCCTAAGTCCATTGTGCGCATCTATCTAAGTTCAACATTTAAAGGTACATTTTTTTGTTGGAGCTTATTTCCATATTCGACAACGTATATTTGATAGTAATAAAAGCCTAAACTGGGCTTACCAAATTTATTACACTCATGTTCTACAAATGAAAACTTGCATGGCGTCAATTTGAACCATCCTGCATATGTTCTTTTTTGGGGGGGTTTTGCCTGTTCACTGATTTACTTTCCTTTTGATAAAAAAAGGAAAGTTGCATTCTTCCAATTTTTTGTTGTAAACTTTTAGCATCCCGCTACCACTTCTTTATCAATGTTGAATTTTGTACATATCTGTGCAAAAAGAGGATCAAAAGCTTACCCAGCAATCCACCCACGTACAAATATTTTTCCAGCGCGTGAGCAAGTCAAGTTTTCCCGCCATTTTCCTGGGAGCCTGTCACGTGATTACATTAATTATAAATAGCAGACACGAACTTGTTCATTCTCTTTTCTCTCTTCTCTCTTCTGCGAAGATGTAACCTTAAAGAATCCCGTCTCGACCATGTGCGGTCAGACGTTAAAAACATATTCACGCATGCACGTACGTACGAAATTTTCTAAACTACATTACAAACATACAAATCATTTCCAAACAAGCAACAAGCACTTTTTTCTTTGAAATATTCTTCTAAAGCTACAAGTTTATTCAGTATTTATCAGTTTTATAATACATTCAACTTTTGTGAGCTCAGGTAAAAATATTTCAATTTCCTCAGTAAAACTTTAATTCAGTCAAAGGGACATAACACCAAAAAAATAGTAACCTCAACGCATGTACATCATTACACGAAAATAAATATAAATGTTGTTATAAAACCGTTTTTGTTCCTTCTTGTGTTTCATATTTTGTGGTATTTTGCGTTAAATATAAATCGTGTGGCCATGTTAATAAACAGACATCTACAAATGGTCATATATATTAATATACTGCTACAAGCTTCATGCGGTTAGTAAAATTGTTTTCTCTGAAACAGGCGCGTTCTCTTCAAGAAAGCATGGTACAGTTTGGTTGTTTGGTACTATTATACTTCTTTATAATTAAAAATAATTTTATTTAAAATAAAAATTATAGCCGTAACAAGTGAAAAGATTATACAGATTGAAATAAACAGAACTCAGATATGTTTATGTTTATTGTTTAAAAAGTGTGGTTACGCCAATGACAACAATCCACCCATTATTCAAAAGGATGAAAATAAATTGGTATAATTTGCATCTTGAAATACTAACTCATTGTTTATAAATATAATATTAATTTCACAGGTCATCTCGTGTAACAACAAAAAATCATTCCATGAGCATTTTATCTCATGCAGAGAACCAACCCATATGAAAAAAAAATATTAAGTGATAAATGTAATAAAAAAAGAAATGAAAAAAATAATTTCATTACTGTTGTTGTTTTAAGATTTCTATGCATTTTCATACATAAAGATGATAACATAAAAACTTGACAATTATTTAACAAATTTTTGTGCATATAAAAAAAAAATTATTTTAGAATAGTTTTTTATGACTGGCTTATTATGTATTCATCTTCATTTATCATTCTCATTCACACTGTTATAGACATAAAATATACATAGAAAGTATCGGTAATTCAAAAAACAAATTGCTGTTTATCAATATGGATTTTTTGGACGCTCCTAAAAGCAAGATATTCGTTTTTCATCGTATTATTTTTTTTCTATTACTCAGATACGCAAATCGAAAGGAATGCATTGATGGTTGATACTTACCCTAAAATCCAGGAATTTTGTGCCAACCTCGGGCTCGACTTTCAAGTTATAGATATGCGCTGGGGAATTCCTGATGAAAGCCAACTTGATCACTCCATGGAAGAATTATGTCTCTCTGAAATTAAGAATTGTCAAAATCTTTCACTGGGACCAAACTTCGTGGTAAACAAATCTTATGCTCTCTTGTTTGATACAGAAATTTAGTTCATTATATTCAATAATAAATGCATTTTCTCAATTAAAAAAAAGTTTCAAAATATTTAAAAATATGGTTTTATTTCTCATTTACACTACGTTTTTTTATGAATCATTGTAAGTTTTAATTATTCTAGATGAATATCACCGATTTTGAATAATAAGAATTACTCGTTAAAGAAAATATTTAATTGGGACAGTAAGGTGACCCGATATTACGTTCTTTGTACTACAACTGATTAATGCAATTTGGAATTACAATATATATTTTCACAACTCCTGCTGAGAAAATTATTCGGAATTTGTGACACGGTTCAGCTAAATATATTCCCAATGTATTTTAAGAAAAGGCTGACATATTTACTGCATTATTCGTTAATGAAAGAGGCTATAATGCCCTTTCCTCATTATCTGTGTTGTCTTTGTTATTAATAAAATGAACCTCTATAAAATAATAATAATAATAATTGGTGCCTATGTAGGAAGTATGAACATGAAATCGATGAGAAATGGTACCTCTACATACCAGCTCGTCAATGAAGCCACCAAACAAGACTACACCGTCTTTGCAAAAAGCAAAACAAGAAAATTCCACCTCATCGACTTAGCTGTTCCTGGTAACCATAAAATCATGGTTAAAATCATGGAGATACCTAGTTAAAGGAATTGACAAACTTAAGAAATACACCGTTCTCCGGACTGAAATTGCCAGAATGTGAGACGCCCAGGCCACTATTTGTCCCAGTTATTATTGGGGCGTTGGGGTCTATACCACCGAAGTCCTACATTGAGAAAATCGGAATAAAGCCTAGAATCAGTCCACTTCTGAAGTTTGCAAATATTCTACGAAAGGCACCCTCTGTCTGTGGTCGTACGACTTGATGGAGGGCACCTATAATGCAAGATATCCGGTTGAAAATGAAAAATCGTGCGGAAGAAGAAAGTATAATAATAATAATAATAATAATAATAATAATAATAATAACTTTCATATAGTTTGGGATTTTTTTCAAGTACATCTGTCTGAAAAAAAGGGCTGATAATATTTTTATTATTTATCACTAACAGGGTTTATATTTATGCCCATTGTATTTTATATACACAAATTGTTCAAATGATAAAGAGGTTCAGCTAAATATTAGCATTATTCAAGAAGCTCGAAGATTCATTCGCTGTATTGTATAAATAAGATAAATTGTTTTATACGATATTTACGTCACTCAAGAGGGATATTTATTTACTTGAAATTATCAACTTTCTTTGCTTGTCACTTTTATTTTAAGAAATTGTCCGCTGATTCTTTGCAGGGTTTTATAGGAAACCGTTATGGCTACCGACCTTTACCACACGCTATTGAGGTTGGTGTGTTTGATTATATTTTCTTGGAGGCTAAAGAGAAAGCAATCAAGAACAGTGACCTTCTAAAGACTTGGTACATCAAAGACACAAATTCTATCCCACCAGCTTACGTATTGCAAGTAAGAGAATTTGGCACGTTTTAATACCAGTCAGATATTTGAAAGAATTTCTAGTTTATAACTGAAACAAATTACCAATTGTTATTCAATTTGAAAGTCTTACTTTTTTATTTTGGATAGCCAAATAAATATGAGAGTTCATTTATTGACTAACATATTTATTGTTAAAAAAAAGTCTTTTACTCTCAATTTCTTCTCACATCACATCTTCATTAATTTTTTGTCAAATTTTCGATACCAATGATTTAAATGGATCTTATGGCCTTCACATTGTATTTCTCTTGAAAAAAATGATATTATTTTCTTTTGCAAATTGAATATTTTTTTTATATTCAGCCAGTTCGCAGCGTTTATCCGAATTACATGAGTCGAAACTGTAAACTTAAGGAACAAAGCGAAAAAGATATATTGGCTTGGCAAGAATGTGAGATGAGACTTCAAGATGTGCTGAGAAAGGCTGCAACCTCGGCTTATCACAATAATAGCTTGACAAAAGAGCAACTTCACCAATTTTATTTGTCAGGTAAGACATCTAGAAAGTCGAAATTGAAAAGAATGTTTTACTTATGACATGAAACAGTTCTCTGATTTAATAAAGTATGAGTCTGAGTAAAACGTTGCGCCCCTCTGCGAGTCCGTCCAGTCTTTCTGTCCAGTGTCCGCTATTGATATCGATCACTTCAACCCAAGCCTTGCCCTATCCCACGTTGTATTTTAATTTAGATCATAAGGCTGGCAAGTGTCAATTGTCGACGGGAATCATTAAACTAGTTCAGACAGGACAAGTAAAGGCACAAGTCACAAGATAAGTTGTAAAAAAAAAAGAATATTTTATATGACGTTCCTTATGCTAATACAAGTTTAGTTCTCCACACAAGATTATAGGTTCTTCATGCAGGCATATCTTGACATGCAAAATCACTCGACCCTTCCCTCATTCCAATAATTCGTGACACCCTTGTTCGTTATGACTAAGTCTAGATAAGTACTCTGGAGCATAGATCAAAGTCGGAGACTTTCTTCAATAACAGGAGTTATGTGGAACGGTTGTCTCTCTCTTTATCTCTCTCTCTTTATCTCTCTCTCTCTCTCTCTTTTCTCTTGGTCCAGTCTTCTTCTCTCGTCTTCTCTTGTGTATAAGTTCCCGACAATCTTGTTCGTTATAGTTGAGCTTGTTAATGACATTTCTGGAGCGTGGTTGAAGTCGGAGGTCTTCGTCAGGTAGGAGTCACGTGACATCAGGCGAAGCAGCCGTCTGCAAGCGCTCTGTTTTTACGTACCTCAGCTCCTGGGGTCTTAGAGTTTTTTCACAATTCTCGGACTAATCAACTAAATTCTAATAAAGTTCCTTTGTTTAGAATTTTTCCCATAACATCCTTAATTTTTCCCAATTTGGAAGTTATCTCGTTCCGCGGGTAGAGGACATAGGCCTGGCTACTCCCAGCTATTCCTGCTGCTTTAGTCATATCTCCCACCAGCGTTTCTGATTGACGGAGACCAATCTTCCATCTACCATTACTCTGAACCTCTCTTCAACTCATGCCTCCTCAGAGCCTTATACTGGTATCTCCACCTTTCGGTGTGTGGAGACAATTTAATTTCTTCTTAGTGTCTTCTCTCATTGAATACTTTATGGTTGGAAAAAATAAACTTTCTCCCCCTGATTCCACTCCCCATCCTTGGGACAGTCAGTCTGGCATCATGGCATCTGGCTTTTATTCATTTTCATGACATTTGTTTTCCTATTTCAATTTCTCTGTCATCGATCATAACTCCATTGTCCTGTTTTCTAGTTTTTGTATCGGAATTCCGGAACACATTTTCACAAAATTCGGCCAAGTTTGAAATTTACCATATGACCTTATCGCCTCTGAAGAAATACATATCTTTCTCAATTAAAACCATTTCGCCTCTTTGCTTTTTTTTTTCTCATAACCATTAAGCCACTAATTCACTAAGCCTGATTTCCTTTTAAACAATGATATCGCTTGGTGATTCAGTTTTGCTAAATTCATTCATTTCTGTTGACAACTGATAAAATAAAGTAAAAAATATGTCAATTTTCCTTTTCCTTTTCTTTGTGGGAAAATAAATCAGGTGTTCCAGCACTACCTTTCTCCGAATTTACAAAATCTGGTCACGTAGTTTTCGGTATGGCTATTGAGCTATCTCCTGACTTTTCTATCTTATTCACAGAATGTCTATCGGGCTATCTATTAACCCTTTCAGTGTTTTATGGTGTCACAGAGTAACAAGACTAAAAGAACATTTTATTTATAATAGAAATTATAAGTAAAATAAAATTATTATTATTAAAATTTTTTACATCCATTACATTGTCAAGCAATTTAAGAGGAGTCTGCAATTGTGGAAATTTTTGGATATAAAGAACATGAAACAGAAGTAATGACAAGAAACTAGATACTCAAATTAACAGATAGCTAACATTATTCTGGCTAGAACAGAAAAAATTCACGATATTTTCACTTTCACACAAAGTTTTCAGTTTAAGTGAGAAACAATAGAGACGGATGCAGATGTCCGTGTAATGGTGTGATTAGTAGTAAATATATAAATGCGGCTGCATGTTTCAAGATAATCAACATCCATACATTAAATTTAAACATCAAGGAAAAAAGAGAACAATGAGAAACAATAGAACCAATTTTGTTTAAAGAAGAAATATATATATTAAACTCAACAAATAATACAAGTAGTTATATATGCGTGAAAGAAAGGAGAAAAAGGTAGCTTCCCCTTGACTGCAGGAAATGTCTTTAAAAAGATTTGTCTGAGTTCAGAGTTCAGTGTTGAAATGGAATATTTCTTTCTGAAAATTGTTCAATAGTTGTAACTAAAAAGTTGATTTACTTGGTGTGTCCACTGAGAACTGGTGGTGTGTTACATAAAGTTCTGTAGTGTGTATGCACGTGCGGAGTGAGTAGGATGAAAATACACGAGCGAGTAAATGAGAACTATTGTCTCTGGGTACCTCGACTGTGGTTCTGAAATTACTACTAGTTTTATTTGGAAAATACCAATATTTATACTGTGACGTCGTCCCACGGTCGCAGCGCCGACTGTGACGTTCTATCCTGATCTACCACGGCGCCAGTTGTGACGTCCCTAAACAGCACCAATTGTGATGTCTTCGCCGCGGCGTCAGCTGTTCGCTCCTCGCTGCTCCGTCCGGGTGTCGCTGCTCCAAACGTGACGTTCTAACCCTTTGGTGATTCGGGTAGGAATCTGGTTAGATTGATACCAGCCTCGCCGTTCCCAACCTGCTTCCAACGCCTGGTTACCAGGGTAACTGCACTAATCTCCAGTCTGCCTACCCACGTTGTGAATTGATCTTAAACAAACGAGATCAAACAGGGGTTGGGGCCGTAATGCAAGCTGAGTTCAACAGGGGTGATAACACACAAATATGTATAAAAGAAAATAAAATGAAAACTCACAAAGTTCAAAGTATCAAAGAAAAAGGTAACAAACTTTTTATGTCTAATTGTTCGGTACATAGGACTATGTCTACTTCCCGACCCGTTCTGTGGATTGTGGCACAACGCTTTCGCTAGGCAAACTTTAACGCTTCAAGTTGTCTGCTCTCTAAGAAATTTGTGTTTCGGGTGTCTTTGGACGAAAGTCGAAAAACTTATTTCTGTGGTCTGGTCCTAAGTCGCTCTTCAAACTACTTGTTCTTGGTTGAAGAAGAGTCCAAAAGTGTGCGTGAATCTTGGTCAGCTATCTTGATGCGGTTTCAACACTGGGCACTCATCTCTGCCTGCCGTCCGGGGCTCAACTCTTCTCTCCAGAGTCTGAGCTCTTCTCTGCCTGCCGTCCGGGGCTCAACTCACTGGGCACTCATCTCTGCCGTCGGTGCGCGAACTAACTTCTTCTCGCCAGCTTGGGTCAAACGAACTTTGCACTCAGGGCCAAACAACTGGCCTCTTCTGCCCGCTTGGGGCGAACGAACTCGGCCCGCCGTCCGAGTCTCAACTGATTTCTGTCTGGTGGGGCTTCGTTTTTATTGACGCCGTCAAAACTGGGGTGGGTCTGTCTGGCGTCGGGGGTTCTTCGATAATTCTAAATACGTATCCACCCTTCTTATTTCTGGTTAGGGATTTTTCACTCTTTTCCATTTTTGGTAGCTCTTTTCTCACTCCCACTCTCTTACTGTGCTTCTGAGGGGCGTGCACTAACTTCCCCACTTCTTCGTATCGGCTTCTCACACTTACACTCTGGATAGAGGCGTCGACCGATTTCTTCGTGCATCACGTGACCGCTCTCGGCCAATGAGGTTCTGGCCGGGTATCTTTCCTCCTCCTTCGTGCGTCATGTGATCCACTTGGCCAATGACGTCTTAGTCGGGCGTGAACAACCCGTGGCTTTGTTTTGGGAAATTTTTTTTTTGTTAAGCAAGGTATTTCTTAACTAAAAAAAAAATTAATTAAATCGCCCTTATCATGAGCGGCCGAGGTGACAACCCTCGGTTGTAACACGTGGCGTTTGTCAGGCAGTTTATCGCTAATTGGACATGATCTAAGAAAGAAATTTTCCTAGCCTACCTGGCGTCTCTAAAGCAAAAATAAAAATATTTCATTTTCCTTTTGGCCCATGTGTTGATAACAAAAAATCTTTATTATCACAGGGCAAACGTTTATTCTGTCAAAAGAAAGAAAAATTTAGCCAGTGAAAACTTCTTGTGTGGGATTTTTTAATTCTTTACACCCAGTGAAGACCGTCTGTGTTTCGTCAATGTTCAACAATGGATTTCTTCTTTTGGTGACATCCATTGATAACAAAATTCCATTTTTTCGTGGACAAGCGGAAATCGGTCAACGCTTGTTCGTAGGTGACCTAGATATTTTCGACATCTGATACCTATCAACTATAACCTTTTTCCTCCTCATTTCCATCTCTTAAGCCGTGTGTGTGTGTGTGTTCGCCTATGACCCGTCTGGTATTACTTTTTCTTTCTTCTTCGTTTTCTCTTTCTTTCTCCCAAATCGCTTGAATGCAAAGAAAGAATTATTCTTAAAACCTAAAATATTTTTCGGCCTTAAATAATTATCAAATGGTTGATAAACCGTAAAAACGCAAATCATATATCTATAAATATTTCTTTCAAATCGTCCGGATGCATGGTGCCACATACTACCTCGGGAGGCTCCAGCAGAGACGCTATGGTACATTTTTGAATATACTTGAAAAATATCTGATTGGACGGAAAATGGACCAATCAGTGATTTTGTAGCAAAGCATGTTTTGAAAAGAGTGTAGGAACAAATTTACTATGGTGAAATGCGATAGATAAATTGTCCTGTTGTTTTTAAGTATATATTTATTGACCAATTGGAGAAAATGTAGGCGTGGCACTACATCCGAATCAAAGCATCTAATGGATTGAAAATATGGTTTCCATAAAGAAAGAATACACTGGAACCACATGAGATTTATATTCTTCATAACCTCCTTTCCATCGTCAAAAGTTCAGAAAATCTGGCATCGAAACAACAAATTATTTTTAGTCGTGAAAATATTTTACATTTTATGCGACACAAAAAAAACAGTCAATCAAACATCGTGAATTTGTTCGATATTTTATTTTGGTAATATCGTAGGCAATATTAAAAGGATTGGGTGAGGGGTGGCAAGAGAACATCTTATCCCGAGTGTTTTGAATGGCGCAAACGAATAAGATCAAGTCTCCTAATGCGGTGTGAAATTTGAAAGAAACTAAATACCATAAAAGTTATTAAAAGACATTAAAAAAAGTATTAAAAGATATTAAAAAAAAAACAATAATAATTCAGAATACAAAATTTACAGAACAAGCTTGCACAAAAATTTCCTTTGTGTGCATAAGTATAATTGTCAACAGAATTATATTTAGAGCTTGCTCAAACACTTAGGCTAGTTCTAATTAAAATATCTCTTGGCTCATAAAACAATTATAGTTATTATCAACAACTTCGATTCATTCGACTGTCGAAAGGAGTAGAGAAGGTTGACAATTCACAGGCACCGCTGGTTTGTTTAGACAAACTAAGATGAGATAAATCTTGTATTTTCATAAAACGGGTTAAATCAGTGACAAACTTTCATAAACGACTATAGAAAGATAATCGTAAATTTCTCTTTTCTGCTTTTTTTCTTTTTCTTCTGTTACTTCTTTTTCTTTATGCTCCTTACATTTCGTCGTCATCAGCAGCGATTTTCAGTTTTTCTTTTGTTCAGATCCCATAACCAGCCGATGTCATCCTTTTGAATGCCGAAACCCTCCTGCTTTATTTTCTCCTTCTTTTTCATCTCCCAGAAACAGTCGATGTCTTCTTCGTGAATGCCGAAACCCTTCTGTTGTCAGACAGCCTAGACATCTTAAATAGTTACAAATCGGCTCCGAATTGAATCAGAAATTCAATACTATGAGGTCGCATCTTTACTTTCCCTTTTGGTTAAAAATATCACAAAATGTATCTCTTTAAACCACGCTTGTTGGCAAACTTTATTTAGGCGTGTTTTGAGGCAATCAGACTTAAGCTTCATTTTTTTTTAAATTTCGGAAAGCCAAATTTTATACATATATCTTTTTATAAACCACCAAGCTTCATTTTGGCAGTTCTTTTATAACATCAATTCACATATACAAAGTTTTACACATCAAATTTTATTAACGCCATTTTTACTAATCGTTCTAATCGTTATAGAGTTTTTATTTATAAAATACGTGTTAGTAACATTCTTCTATTAATCAATGTTTCTTTTTAACCACCCTCTCAAAAGAAAGTGTAATAAATAAACCTAGTCTACTTTATTATTTTTTTATTTACACTTTAATTATTTTTATACAATTTTGCATTTTATTATTATATTATTTTTTATGATATAGTAAAAATAAATGTATTTCTTTTTATGTATTGACATAATAGCTTACAGTTTGTTTTCTCATAAAGCTTGTCATATTTCGATTTGTACGAAACACGACAAATTGTAATAAAAACGTTTTTCTTTATCATTTTCATTTCGTTCACAGTAACAGAATCTGAAATGACAAAAGGAATTTTAAAAGCTAAAAATGCTGACTCTAAATGTTTAATCTATTTGAGAAAATTTACAAATTTTCCCGATTCTTTGGATGGAGACGATTTGAATGAAGGCTCGGGTGAAGAAATGAACATGGTGGATGATAGCCCGGCACTTTACGTTGATTATGTCATTGTCAACAAAAAGGTGAGATGAAATGAATATTATTTCAAATATATTGCCGATAAGTGGATAATGAGCTGTTTGTATATATAAATAGAATCAATAATGTGCGGTAGAGTGGTTTACCTGAAAAAAAAATGCAACTTTTTCATACGCGAAATAAAATTGCACAAGTGCCTATAAAAAGATTTTTTAGGGAGAGGAGAAGAGAGAACGTCAAATCCCGTGTATTATGAAAGGCGCAAACGAAAAAACACATGGCTCTTACTCCGGTGTGAAATTTGAAAGAAATTTGTATTTATTAAATGACATAAAAAATAATAACACAGAATACAAAATTTGCAAAACAAGTTGGCACAATTTTTCTTCGTGCGCCACATAATTAGACAAGATAACAAATTCTAAATACAATTAAGTTAATCTCATAGAAACAATTTTTAATTATTAACAAAATGTTCATTTACTTTGATTCATTCCACTGCCGAAAGAAGTTGAGAAGGTTAACGATTCACTGGCGTTGTTAAGTTTCTGATTTGTTTAGACAATAGTATCGTTTTACAAACTCGTATTACCATAAAAATTTCAAAATCAAAACCAGTCCTAAGTGGAAAGTCAAGCAAAGGATACTCCAGATAAGTCAAGAGTAGAGTTTGATGAGAATTTACGGGCAAAATATTTATCAGCAGAAGATGTTAACACCTCCAATTAAATAAAGAGATGAGGAATAGAAGACTTACTTAATTATGACCGAGCCACCATTAGTCACGAAAGTCAAAATTGTTTGAGACTATACTATGCCCCATAACATCGGAAAACAAAGACTTAGCCTCTTCGAAGACACGTTTGCAATTATTATGTGCAGGCCCAAATTTGTATATTTTTGTCTGTAATGTCTGTAACATTTAGTGTAATAAAGTAAATAAATACACAAAATAGCAAGCAAATCACAGGCAAAGATTTGAATATCTGAGGCAAAGGCATATGCTAACACATAAACTACGTCAACGTGCTATGGCTAGAGTATTATCGTAAATTTTATTTTACAATACCAAGTTATTCAGAGCGCACAGATAATACACTGCTCGTAGACCGGGCTCGGGTTATGAAATTTTGTTCGCAGGTAGAGTACAGAAATACGACACTGATCCTAAGCACCATTACTTAAACAATTCCGACGTTTTTAACGAGTACTGTGCACATCAGGAGAAAGAAAAAACGAGAGAGTTAGAGAGAGCGAGACTGAACAATTATACTGAAGAACTAATCAGTTTAGAAGGACACTCTGAAAGTAATGACTCTGATCTATTTGCACAGAAATTACAACAGATTCAAATGGTAAAATAATATCTTTGTCGAAAGTATTTTTCAGCTAAAAAACAATATTTTTCACTTTCGACAATAGTGATGAGGTTGTCAGGAAACGATTGTGTCACTAGTCTATCTTTCATCGGGGCCCGAGCATTGGCTTGTTATGCACATAAGTGTCCTCCACTATTAAAACTCATTGTGAACAAAGTAACTCTGCTCACCTCCACTGTTTGGTCTCTGTAAATTATCAGCATACGTCAATAAATGTTACGTGTGGAGGTTTTTTACTTAAATAAAATAATTTCTTACCAATAATGGCAGTTTTAATAAATGGAGTAAACACACACATAAAATAAACAAAACTTAATTGCTTCTTTTTAAACTGGCAAATAAAACCCGGATGTAAAATTAAGGTTGAAGGATTTAAATTTACATATTTTTACTATTTATCTCTAAATGTAAAAAACGTTAGCGTCTAATTGTAAGAACCATCATTGCTTTAATAAACAAAACCAGTTTTGATAAAAAAAATTACGAATACTTAACAAATAATATTATCCATTTTATTATGGATTATTTGTATTTAAAGACGGTAAAAGAAGGTTTGTTGTTCCACTAGGCTTCATAGTCACACATTGCGTGAAAATTTGGAATAACAGCTTAAAACAAGTGAAGATATTTTTCAAACTAGGTATATTTTTTATTAATTATTAGTTAATAATAAGTAAAAGTTTTCTGACCCGAAAACATTAAAAGAGAAAATTCTTCCATAAAATGTACTTTGAATACAAAATTAAAACAGATGTAGTCTTTTTCAAAATAATAAGTATATTTTTCTATTATACACGCATGTGCTTTCTTTGCATTTAATTCAAAATATGTAACAACAGCCAACCAACATGCATTTATTTATTTATTTGCCATCAAGTCATGTGACTCATATAGCCTCTTAGTCTTCACCTTTCAAGTAGTTGTTTATAAAATAATGTTCTAATATTGTATAATGATATTAGTATAGGTTATCTGCCACACAGAGTTTACCGATTTTGTGTTAGGAAGAATAACGTGTTTTAGCCTTCCAGTAGCACACCGATACTAATATTAGCATTAGTGTAGCCATTGATACACTAACACTGAATGTGAATACAGAAAGATGAAATATGCAAGCATAACAAACAAAACATTTAATAAGGCAACAAATTACATACATATATTAAAAAGATTTACATAGGTCCCAAAACAAATGTTTGTTCATATTGTCCCAAAGGAACCAGGAGGTTTACAGAACGAGAACAATAAAATAAGTAAATAAATAACAGCTATATGGCCTTTGATCGTCCGCAGATAAGTGAATAGAAATTACTTTGCTAGGCCGTACACATGTTGACCAGTTTCCACGTGTGTGGATGCCCTGGTGGTTAGGAAGGTAAAGAGACCGTTCCTCAAAAAACGGAAGCAAAAACTAAAAGGGACAGAAGAGTTTTCCTCTCTAAAGGGGTCAAACACCCATGAGCTCAACCCAAGGGAAAACAACTGTGGTCTCCCTACAAGTACTCCCTCTCTAGACAGGTTCATTAACCTACACTAGAAGTACTACTAAAATGTAACAAAAACAAAACTTCAAAACATGTATTACAAATTTAAAGAAAAATGGTTTTGTAACCGAATGAAAAAGGAAGAGTTCGATGTGGAGTGAAGAATATCCTCCAGTTATGGTTCTGCTGAACCCAAAACCTGAAAATGAATTATGTCAATAAATGTTTGGGCCATCTAACATGACTTCCAGATCTGGTCACAGTCTCTTTTACTACCCCCGGCTGTAGTTGCTGATCCTTTTCCTGTGCTTCCACAAATGATTGATGTTCCAAGCACGGGTCCAGCACAAAAGCATTTATGCCACGAGATATAGTGCCTGCAGGTATGTTGTTGGTTCCCTTGATGAAACGGATATCTGAAGTGCATTGTAAAAGATAATCCATGTGACTGTTTTTACGTGGTGAATACTTGTCGGAGTTTGACTGAAGGGCTTGTGGTCTGTCAGTAAGTAGAAAGTCCACCCTTCCAACAAATGTCGAAAGTAACAGACAGCTGAATAATTCACGTCCAAATGTGCTGTACCTGGATTCCGTAGAAATTAGTTTCTTGGAAAAGAAGGAAATTGGTTTCCAGTGGTCATCGATCTTCTACTGTAGTACTGCACCTACACCAATCGAAGAGGCGTCAACTGCCAAACACAACTCGCTACCTGGGACAACATGTGACAATTCAACTGCTCGGGACAATAAAACATTAATTTGATGGAAGGCTGCTAATGCTTGGTCAGGCAAAACTAGGTCACAATTTTTGACATCAGTTAGAATATCTGTCAAAGGTTTTATAACCTACGCACAATTTGGCAGGAACCTTCGAAAAAAAGTTCACCATCCCTAAAAACTGTCGCAACTTTCTCATGGTATCTGGCACGGGAAAGTCAGAAATGGCCGCCACTTTAGATGGGGAAGGTGAAATTCCAGCTGAATTGATGCGGTGACCTAGGAAAATTACCTCAGACTTTCCAAACTCACACTTTACTGGGTTAATAACAAATCTCTCAAAGCGCTCGAAAATGAGCTGTAAATGTTTAATATGTTCTTCCATAGAAGAATTGTCTATAAGGACATCATACACGTAGACACAGACAAAATGCAAACCGTGCAATACATGGTCGATAAATCTTTGAAAAGACTGTGCTGCGTTTCTTAGTCCAAATGGCACACGCAGAAACTCAAACAACCCAAATGGTGTTGTTATAGCAGTCTTTGTTCTGGTTCTACCGGAATTTGATGGTAGGCCCTGATAAGGTCTAATTTAGTAAATATACACTTATCCTGAATGATAGCCGTTACATCATGTATATGAGGAATGGGATAACGGTCAGGTTTAGTGACAGAGTTGAGTGCCCTATAATCACCACAAGCGCACCAGGTACCATCACTTTTGGGTACCAGGTGCAAGGGAGATGCCCAGTTACTCTTTGATGGCCGGATAATACAAAGTTCCATCATTTGGGTAAATTCCGCTTTCGCCACACTCAATTTTTCCGGTGCTAGACGACGAGGACGGATGTGAACAGGAGAACCACTAGTAGCAATGTGGTGTGTTATATTGTGAGGTAGACTATCCTTGTGAAAAGACAGTTTGGTAATGCTCTCAAACTTTTTTAAAAGTTCACAAAATATAGGGTTATCTTCTGTGTTAGCCACAGTAGGACATACTGGAATTCCATTATGAATGGCTCCTGGCAATTGAGTATTTGTCTTAGGGTCTGTCAGACAACGTTTGTGAACATCAATGAGAAGACCAAATTTGTGTAAAAAATCTGCACCCAATATGGCCTTCTCTACATCCGCAAGGACAAAGAAATAGGTGAAAACCCGTCTCAGACCCAAATTCAATGTAAGGCACCTCTGACCATAAGTCTGGGTGAGCGACCTATTCACGGCCTGTAGGGTAAGTTTGTGGGGGCCTTTTAACTTGTTTGCCCTAGTGGAAGAAATTAAAGATATTTGCGCACCACTATCCACAAGAAAACGTATACAGGTAGTGCGGTCCGAAACAAATAGTAAGCGACAAACATCTTCCAAGCCGGCGCAGCGAGTCGCCAGCTCAGGCTTTTCCCTGTTGCGAATTGAACGAACAGGGGGTGCTTACAATAATTAGCTCTATCTCCAAATTTC